TTTTTTATTTTTAATTAAAATAAATTTCATAAATAATTTTTTTTAAATGTAAATGCTTTTTTATTATATTTGTTTTATTTTATATCATGTAAGTACTTTTTTGGTTCAAAAAATGTTTAGGTATTTTATCGCTCAAAATATAAATGTTAATTGGCTTTTTTCATGTTTTTTCCACTATTTTACTACGTTAATTAGTTTTATAGGTCATAAGAATGTATCTAACATGTTTTAGTAAGTTCAAGGAGTTGTTTAACGGGTTTTGGAATGTCCAAGTACTTATTTGTTCCAAAAAGTAGTCCACGGACTTAATCATTCAAAATACTAAAGTCCATTGGGTTTTTTTAGATTTTTCCCTTGTTTTTATAAGACACTTTTTCAGTTATTGTCCTATAAAATAGTTAACACGATGTTTGTTTTTTTTAATAAAAAATATCCTAAAAAAACTTGTTACAACCTCACAAAAACAATCTATAAACTTATTGCAATGTCTTTATGATGTTTTATTTTTTGATCATATAAATTAAATCTTCTAAAACAGTTTATTATTAACCCAATTTTGTTTTGTGATTATATTTAAAATCAACACCACATGTATGGCCATATAAAAGATTCATAGTTCTTATATGTGTGTGTGTGTAGGGGCTTGCATTACTCACATTACAAGCTCACTACCCGAAACTGAAGCCACCGCTTTGTAACATATTTCTTCCAACATCAAACTGTGAGAAAGTAAATGGAGGAAATGCTGTGCTGCTGTTCTTGGCGATCTACCTGCTGGCTGTTGGTGGTGCAGGTGTTAAAGCAGCATTGCCATCACATGGAGCAGATCAATTCGACGAAAAATACCCGAAAGAAGCTACACAGATGTCCACTTACTTTAACTGGCTGTTACTTGGCGTTGCCGTGGGGGGTTCGGTTAGCTTAACGTGCTTTGTGTGGGTTCAAGACAACAAAGGTTGGGATTGGGGGTTCGGGCTTTCGACCATTGCTATGTTCTTGGGAGCGCTCATCTTTGTTTTCGGGTTGCCACAGTATCGTATATATGTTGTGCAAGGAAGCAGTGCCATTACAGAAATTATACAGGTTTGTTGATACATTATAACAAAATTGGCTTTATAGGACGTCTAAAATGTCTAAGTGTCTTAATAGAATACTTTATATGACCAACCTATAAAACGATTTATCTGAAAGTGTAACAATAGGTTTATACAGCTTGTTGATCATGGGATTACCCTGGCCTAAATCTGTTTTTCTATCAGGTTTATGTTGCAGCCATTAGAAATAGAAAGCTTCAGTTTCCAGAGGACCCTTCTGAACTACATGAGATCCCTATGGACAAGGAAGCTGCACTTCAAGAGGAATTCTTACCTCACAGAGATGTTTACAGGTTAAATTTTGTGTTGAATTTCAACCTTTTCGTTTTTATTCACTGCTACAAAATCGGGTTTATAGGATGCCAACAACTTCTAAGTGTCATAATAGATCTCTTTATAGGACCAAACAGTAGGACTGTCCTATCTAATTAAAGGTGTTACAATAAGTTTATTGGACGCTTTTGGACGTCTTAACAAGGTTTTTAGGACAGGTTTAATACAAGTATCGTATTAGCTTTTGGAGATCTCTTTATAAAACGACTTCTATATACACGACACTTTTGAGAAGTCTCCTATGAACACTCTTTTCTATAGGACACTTTTTTTATAGACATTTTTTTTTCAAATAGTATCTTATAATATGGTTAATACAACATTTTTCTTAAATAAAAATGTCCTTCAAAAGCCCAAAAATGTTATAAACTTATTACACCACCTTTAAATAGAACACTTATTGTTTATTCCTATAAACTTAAGTCTTATAAAGCATTCTATTATAGAACGCTTGGACATATTTGGTGTCCTGTAAACCCAATTTTAATGTAGTGATTTTGTGGGTTTTTATTTGGGAAAAGTCTAAAAAACCCAATAGACTTTACTGTTTGAAATGATTAAGTTCTTCAACAATTTTTTGGAACAAATAAATCCTTGGACATTTCAAAACATGTTAAATAACTCCTTGGACTTTCTAAAACATGTTAGATACATTCTTATGACCTATACAACTAGTCAATGTGGTAAAATAATAAAAAAAGTCCGAAAAAATACTGAACATTCATATTTTAAACGATTAAGTCCCTAAACATTTTTTGAAACAAAAAATATTTAGATCTATAAAACTAAACAAATATAACAAAAAAGTACTTACATTTAAAAAAGATTTTTGATAAAATTTATTTTTAATTAAAATTGAAATATATTTTGTCACTGATTTTTTAAACTAAA